CACCCTGTATAATGAAGTCTGTACTTTATGGGAGATACACATTGCTGCCCGATGTCCAACGTCCGATATTTAATAGGAGATTCCGATTTTCTAGAGTCTTTAGTAGAGTCTGTAGAAAATAAATTTGCCTATTGGATATTTAAAGGCAGTGTGACTCTTCCATAACACGTCATGTACGCAAGAGCCCTTCTCGGTTAACTACCTAGCTTCTGCTCAATTTAGCCGATATTCATAGGCTGGTTTGACAGTCCATTTTTATTTCAAAATTTTGAGTAATGTCTCAAGATGCTAATACAACTGATTTATAACAATCTTAAGATTATATTTAAAACGGTCTTATATAAAAGAACCAACTTTTATAAGTACCGACCATAGTCCGATCTTTTATTTAAGATCGCCATAATTTCATTTTCGGATTATTATATGAATTATTTCATTGGTTACGAAACATCTGAAGATGAAGTTAAGGTGATCTCAAACATACCGACTATATAATATAATTACTTAATATTAATTTTATATACCGACCAGTGTCCTATTTGGATTAATTAATTAATTGTTGTTTTATACCTATGTTTTGACGCAGAAAAATAAAATTGCAAACATTGGAGGTAATGCATTTGAAAATAAAACCAGAACCATAATGAAGTTAACAATGCATGATGATATAGCCACAAAAATGTCGTGGACAGGCGAAAGGAGACAAACAATGGCTATAAAAGATACTGAATTTATCAACATTATTATAGGTAACAAATAAAGATATATATATAAAGTACAAATGTAATAAAAGATATAATTTAAGGTATAAGTTTAAAAAGGACGTTATAATTTGCCGTTGTAATTGACAGCCTCCTTTTTTAAAACTAAATAAAGAATGATTTTACTGTATCTTATTTCAGTATTAAAAACAAATCTGTAATACATAAACAATCGTTAGATTGTTAGACTTAAATATTTGTCTTTTGACGAGTTTTTAATATAAAAAAAATTGTTAATGAAAATTTGTAGTTTAAACGATTTTATAATTATTTCAGATTACATTAGAAGTACAGAACACTGCAGCCTATTTCAAGTTCAACAAATAATACACCAATGGTTGCGGTATGCATGCTACAGATTGAAATGATCAAAAACGGGAAAAAATAACCCATAATTATATACAATACTCTAATATGATACTGATTTTATCGACAAGTTTAAAATTATTCAATTGATAAACTAACTGTGCAAAGTTTAATGTAATAATAAAAATTTTGTGCAATTAAAATTATGTGTATTTATGTAATTGTTATTTATCATTCTTGTGTACTTTGTGGTTTCCATTCTTTTTAAGTTGTTCCGTATACATAAAAATTAGAGGTACATTGGATTTTCGATAATATGGCGAAAAAAATGGAATTTGATCAGAGCCGATTCTAAACTAAGCGAGGCCGGGTGCAAACAAAAAAACGAATTCGACCACGGAATTCGCTAAATTAGTTGGTTGATAAAAATGATACAATTTGTACCATTTTTATAATTCTTGCAGGATATTGAACGGTTTTTATACTTTGTTCAAAATTCCGAGTAAAGTTTCAGAAATATAACGTTTAATTCGAGCAACTTTATTTTTTTTAATTGAACATCATTTTTTTTCCATGTACTACATAAAACTAATATTACGTACAATACTTGAACATTTGCTAATCGCTAATGAAGTTCGTCTGAAAGTTCTGATCTAACAAATATAAATTAATCACACGCACACACACACCACACAACATAGGAAAATCAATACTTTAGTAATATCTTATATTCTGCACTTCTTGCACGACGTATTGTAGAAAGATCTTAAGAGGATCCCGTAGTATGTCTGTTTTACCGACAAAATTACCATTTTCGTAGTTATAACCTTTCGTCGTATTAAATTCATGGAATCAAAAATGCTTGCGTACAATGACAGTATATGCATTGATGATCCCGGGAAACTCCAATTTCATACCAAAAAATGAGTAAAAATTACAAAATTCATATATCGATCACATATGTATAACCTCATTTAGACGAACTGTCAACTCCGTCATACTCGTGCTTCGTATAAAAGTTCTACAACTTATATAAAAGTACTCACATGAAACTGAGTTTCCCTGGATTCGATGACATGTAGAATTACTGTGACACCCTCTAAATTGGGATTAGACGTTTAAAATAAGAGTATAGCTAGAATTAAACTTTCGTGTTTATGTATGGGTGTGATGTATCGTAGTAGTGTGTCCGTGTGCTCATGTATATTACGAAAATGGTAATTCTGTCGGTAATACATAGATGTCGGTAGACATACTACGGGATCCTCTTAAATGTTGTCTATCCTATAAAAAGCGTGTGTTTCTTTGTTCATACAGAGCAGAGTCGTCAAACCAAATATCGTGATCTGTGAATCACTTTTAGAGTCGTTCAGAATCCACAACATTATTAGTCGTTTCGTGTGTTTTGCGTTTAGGCTAAAAGTAATTTTGCACTGTAGAATCGTAATATTATACATGTTATCATTTCACATTGAGCTTCACCAACATTTTCGTTTCCAGTTAATCTGGTATTACTCAATGAATGTCTACGTTTACATGAAGAGTGCTTAAAAGAGTTACAGAAAATGCAACCGAAGAATTAATATTTAAAATGCTCTAATAATTCATTCCCACATAAAATATATGTATGTGAGACAAATTAAATATCATTTCACCCGTCATTTTGGAGATATCTTGTAGATGATATAGCCTAAATATTTTAAGGATGTCACATCTCTAATATCTTTTTCTGATATCTTTTTAAAAAATTATTGTTTACATTTGTATTATTTATTTTATTTTTGAATAGTTATTTCTTATTTAATTTTTCCTCAAAAAAAAAGTTTTCTAAACTTATCTAGTCCAAAACAAAATAGTACGATAATAAAAAAAAGATTATAAGTATAGCAATAATAGAATAAAAAAGTAAAGTCTAATTTAGGGAGGCCGTGTTCCTTAATAATTTATGCCGGAACTGATAAAGAAAAAATATGTTTTATCTATTACATTGCCTATTCTGTAATACAGAGCTCGGCAAGATAGGTCACTTCGCGGCCGATTTTCAGTTGACTCCGTCTTCCGCTATTCCCTTTACCTCGCCGTCCCGCGCGAAGCCCACGAGCCACTCTTGATCCTAAAATTCCGAAATCATTCCTAAAACATTCCAAAAATTCCAACAATCGATCTAAATAGTCATCATTTATGTCTGCTTCTACCCAGTTGCTTAAAATCAGTCATCATGCAGTGGATTATGCCTACTGGGGATACCACTATAAAAATAACGCGTTAACAATAGTACCTCAAGGGTGACGAGGAAAGCTATTGAAAACATATTTACGCTTCTGAGCCACGAACGGCTCGTGGGCTTCGAACGGGACGGCGAGGTAAAGGGAATAGCGGCGGACGGAGTCAACTGAAAATCGACCGCGAAGTGACCTATCTCGCCGAGTTCTGCTGTAATACGTCAAATACGACTTCACTAAAATATAGATGTCTAATATTTGATATAAAATCAAATATCATATCTCAGATGAAATTATCTGAGTGACTTTTTACAATCTGGAAGACATCTCTTATGCCCATTCTACACCTAGGGATGATCCTACTTGTGGCTCATCCGATACTCGCTTCTATACCTAAAGCTAATCCTACTTACAGCTTATCCGAGGAAGTAGTATAAAGTGTAAAAGGTACACTGTAGTTGTACTTTGGTACGATTGGAAACCAACCAAAGTGTAAACCTTTTACACTTTATACTACTCCCTCGGATAAGCTGTAAGTAGGGTTAGCTTTAGGTATAGAATCGAGTATCGGAT